CGATGCGGGGCTCGATCCCAGGACCCTGAGATCATGACCTGAGCCGAAGGCAGAGGCTTAACCCACTGAGCCACCCAGGCGCCCCTTGTTTCGTATTTTTTTGACTATAACCACAGTTGAGCATCTGTATTTATCTACTTAAGTAATCTCTACACTCAATGAGGGGCTCAAACCCGTGACCCTGAGATCAAGTGTTGCATGCTCCAGGGGTGAAGCCAGCCAGGTGCTCCTGAACATCTGTATCTATCTGTGTCCCATTTGTATTCATAGCTTACTGCCTGTTCATATCCTGTGCATATTTTTGGTTGCTCTTTTTCTTAGGGGATCTTTTTTAAAAAAGATTTATTTATTTACTTGACAGTCAGAGATCACAAGTAGGCAGAGAGGCCGGCAGAGAGAGAGGAGGAAGCAGGCTCCCTGCTGAGCAGAGAGGCCAATGTGGGGCTCATCCCAGGACCCTGGGAACATGACCTGAGCCGAAGGCAGAGGCTTAACCCACTTAGCCACCCAGGTGCCCCTTTCTTAGGGGATTTTAAAAATTGTACACATTGTACATCTTCCATTTGTCTCTTTACTTCATTTATGAGGTTTTTTTCCTTGTTAATCTTTGAATTGTTATGGCAGAGATTTGTTAGTTTTCCTCTGCTGTTTCTGGGTCCATAGTCCCTAAGACGTGTAGGGTGAGCTTTGAGTCCGAACTCCTTTTACCCTTTGCTTTGGTTCCCCGACCCCGTTTTATCCTTTCTTAACCATAGTCCTCTTAAGTGGTGAGAATAATTTTATCAAAGCTGGAGGAGGACCAGTGGCCCCTATGAAGTCTCCTATACCACAGCAGATTATCTGTGAAACGCTTTTATTCTTCCTCTTCATCCTCCTGCTCCTGTGATTATAAGATATCAAATTCTTCCCTAATACATGGGGTGATGAATGAGTATCTTTTTAAAATTTGTTGAGGAGGGACTGAGATTGGATCAGTACTTTTTAATCTTTGCTTCTAATTTACCAGGAGCCTTTAGGCTTTATATAGACCACTTGGGTATTATTTAAAATGTGGAGTGGGAGGATAAAGGTTATTTGAACCATAATATGAACCATATTTAATTTTATTAAAAGGGAAAATTTAGGTTTTGGAAAGAACCATTCAAAACTTTTTTTTTTTAAATATTTTATTTATTTATTTGACAGAGATCACAAGTAGGCAGAGAGGCAGACAGAGAGAGAGAGAGAGAGAGAGAGAGAAGCAGGCTCTTGGCTGAGCAGAGAGCCCGATGCGGGACTCGATCCCAGGACCCTGAGATCATGACCCGAGCCGAAGGCAGCGGCTCAACCCACTGAGCCACCCAGGCGCCCCCAAAACTTTTTTTTAAAGAGATTTTTATTTACTTGACAGAGAGAGACAACGAGAGAGGGAACACAAGTATGGGGAGTGGGAGAGGGAGAAGCAGGCTTCCCCACCGAGCAGAGAGCCTGATGTAGAGCTCGATCCCAGGATCCTGGGATCATGACCTGAGCCAAAGGCAGACACTTAACGACAGAGCCACCCAGGCGCCCCAAGACTGTGTTTTCAAGTTATGATTAAACTTAAAAATTAGTATTCATTAGTATCACTCACAGGAATAAGGATTCCTCTACCATTTACTAGTTTTGTGACTTAGGGTTATTTAATACCTCTAAGCCCACTCCCACATTTGTAAAATGGAGAGTTATAAAATCCCCAAAGAGTGCTTTTTCTAATTAACTGAGAATAAGCATGTGAAAGCCTCTAGCACAGTACCTTTGCATTATCACAACCAGAGTATCTGTTTTCATGTCAGATGAGGTTGGATATGAAAATTACTTTCTACTGCTCCAGTTTGTGAACCTGTGATTTTAAATGTAAACGGTTAATTTTAACTAGAAAAATACTTTCACTAATGAAGTATTTACTCTTATTTCTTATTAAAGGATTCTTAAAAAGAATTTTTGATAAATTTTGAAAGGTTTTAAGTGTTATTCTAAATCAGTTATGTTACAGAGAGACTAATTTGAGGATTAAACAAAATGAAAATGAGCTGTTCATATTTGAAGAAAATGTGGAACATGAAATATTAGGATGGAATATTCAAGAGAACCTAAACTACTGTGTCTGTGTTAGAGTGACTAAGTTAAAAATATATGAAGGATGATAATCAGCTTTTCTCTTATACTCATCAAAGCTTAAATTCCAACAAGAATTTTTAGTTTGGAAAAACAAATTTCCAGGACTCTTGCAAACATAGTATTCTGTAAAAGAGATTCTTTCCACATAAAGAAAATGACAGATTTTTTTTTTTCCTCAAAGCAGAGGTTTCAGGGTTATCAGAGGTTTTGTCATTTACGGATTTTTTCCTGTAGTGCCATCATCGATTGTGTCACATTTATTACAGCCTCATGTTTTATCTTGGCCCTTCTCTCTGCTGTTTTCATGCCACGGTTGAATATTTTTGCACAATTAAATATTTCTAAATAAAAACTAATTAAAATGAATAATACGGACCTCTGTTTCCTCCTTACAGAGAGGAGATGTTCTTGTATATTTTGTTTACTGGAACTGTGGCTCCTACTCCTTTCTTTAGGGTAGTTTGGCAGTTCATATCAGAGGGGTCAATAGTAGCTGTGTCCCTATTTGTAATTAAAGGCATTTTACCCAGATATATATCAATGCCAGTGAATTTTCATAACAATTTCTGTAGCAAATGCCATTAAGCTACTTTCATTCCATATTCTGGTTTTCTGTGTAGCACAGTTACTGTTTTGACCATTATTCTCTCCAGCATCCATTTTTTTCAGCTACATTTTGTAGATGTGAATTTAGCCAAGAAAATTTTGTGTTGTATTTTTAATCTCTGTAGTTTTACATTGATTTTTCCCACTGTAGAAGTATGAACTAGATTTAAAAAAACATTTTGGGGCACCTGGGTGGCTCAGTCATTAAGTGTCTGTCTTCGGCTCGGGTCATGTTCCCAGGGTCCCGGGATCGAGCCCCGCATTGGGCTCCCTGCTTATTGGGAAGCCTGCTTCTCCCTCTCCCATTCCCCCTGCTTGTGTTCCCACTCTCTCTCTCTCTCTCTCTCTCTCTGTCAAATAAATAAACAAAATCTTTAAAAAAAAATTAAAAATTTAAGAACAAATAACTTTAAAAAAAAATTACATTTTGTTTTTATGTCTTGGAACAAGGAACACTAGTAGTATGAAGCCATTTCCTACTGTTCTGCCTCAGGAGCAGAGACTTTATATATCTTTTGATCCAGTAATTTCATTTTTAAGTAGTTTTCCTATGAAAAAGAATACAAATATTTTGGTCATTCCAATTTTAATGGACAAGTTTTGTGGTGAGAAATTTGAAATAAGTTGGAAGTTCCACAGTAGATGATTATATAAATTACTTTATATTTTTCATTGTCTACCATGTAACCATTTTACCATAATGATGTGGCAGATGCTTAACGACAAGCCAATAGCTCTCAGCCTTTCAAGATCTATTATTACCTGAAAAGAGCTGTTTATGGAAAACTATATAAATGATGATTCCATTTAAAATATACACATACTTGAGGGGATGGGGTTACTGGGTGATGGGCATTAAGGAGGCAGATGATGTAATGAGTACTAGAGGTTACATAAGACTGATGAATCACTGACCTCTACCTCTGAAACCAAAAATACACTATATGTTAAGTAAATGAATTTAAATACATTTAAAAAATATACACATACTCGGGGCACCTGGGTGGCTCAGTGGGTTAATGCCTCTGCCTTCAGCTCGGGTCATGATCCCAGGATCCTGGGATCAAGCCCCGAATCCGGCTCTCTGCTCAGCGGGGAGCCTGCTTCCCCCCTCTCTCTCTCTGCCTGCCTCTTTGCCTACTTGTGATCTCTGTCTGTCAAATAAATAAATAAAATCTTTTAAAATAAATAAATAATAAAAATAAACACTCACCAACATGCAGATTATCCTCTCTGGGTAGTAGGATCTCAGATAAATAGTGCTATTTATAATTTGCAAGTTCATTGATACGTATTTTCAAAAGGTGAAAAGTATCACAATTGTATTTTCCTTAATATTCCCACTCTTACCGTTCTTTTGCATCTGGTAGAGAAATAGTGTGTATAATGGCTAGCGTGGGCTTTAGCATCACAAAGAACAGAGTTTGAATCCTGGCTTCCCCAGTTACTGCCTCTGTGACCTGTTATGAGTGATGAAACCTCATCAGGCTTCACTTTATCGATACTGATTAATCTTTTTTTTTTCTTAAGACTTTATTTATTTGACAAAGAGAGACAGCCAGAGAGGGAACACAAGCAAGGGCAGTGGGAGAGGGAGAAGCAGGTTCCCTGAAGAGCAGGGAGCCAGATGCCGGACTCGATCCCAGGACCCCAGGATCATGACCTGTGCCGAAGGCAGACGCTTAACGACTGAGCCACCTAGCTGCCTCTGGTTGATCTTTAAAATAGGTGGGTTTTGGGGGCGCCTGGGTGGCTCAGTTGGTTAAGCCTCTGTCTTTGACTCAGGTCATGATCCCTGGGTCCTGGGATCAAGTCCCAGGGAGCCTGCGATCAAGTCCCAGGGAGCCTGCTTCTCCCTCTGTCTCTGCCTCCCTCTCTCTCATGAATAAACAAATAAAATCTTAAAAAAAAAAAACCTGGTTAGGGCTTTTTTTGAAGATTAAATGAGCATTTACATGCAAAGGTCATATAACATGTCTGGTGCACTGTGAGCTTACAGTAAATGCTATTACTAATATTGTCACAACCACATGAAAATGCCAATATTCTTTTGCTAAAGCAATTTTTTAAATTTAAAAAGGACATTTTTGCTTTTGGAAAATATAAAATATAATCCCACTAGTCAAAGAAGATCATTAGAATCATTTAGTATATACAATTTTATATCCTATGAAAAACCAATACCTGAATGAATTGCTAGATGTTCTGTGTTTAATATATTTACTGACACACGGACCCATTTGTAATCTTTTCAGATCAAAACTTAAAATAGAAGATATAAAAGAAGCCAACAAAGCATTGCAGGTGAGTAGAAACTCTTTCTCAAGTAGGAAAGTAGGGATATATGTGTGTCTCCAATAGAAGGTAAAGCCCTATATCAAGCTAAGGTACTGTTCCTGAATCCCAGGATTATAGAGGCAGACGCCCCAGACAGGTGTCCAGGATGATGGGGATCCAACCCTTCCCTGTTACATCTCTAGAATCAGTCAGTAATCATGTTGGAAATGACCTTGGAAAGAATTTTTTCTATCTTCCTATGAAGCATGTCCTGATAATGAATCTTGTCTTCGAGAGTCCTTGAGTTCCTGTGCTGGTCTGTCACTAGTTTTGACTGGCAACAAGTCATACCTTCATGGAGTTTGTTTCCTCTTCTGAATGGCTTCTGAAATGGGCATATGATTTTGCAGGTTGCTTTGAATATTGTGGTTAATATGTGAGAAAAGTGATTAGTACAGTGTTTGAGTATATGGTTCTGAATGCATCTGGACACAGAGTCCCTTCTACAATATAAAATAGTCTCTCTGAATAGTTCAGTGAGATTGCCTCCTACCACACAGCTTCGCATCCTGTTTTTTTAGCAAAGTGTTACGTGAAAATAATTTAAAAAGTCCATTAGTGCTAGAAAGAATTTAAAAAAAAGCATGGTAGCAGTCTTCTGTTCTTCACCCCCCCGTCCCTTATCCAACCTAGCTCCTGCCAGCTGAAGGGAGCTACTTCCAGTTTTTAGTTGTTTCTTCCGGCTTTGCCCCCTATTTCTAAATAATAGGCAGTATATATTATTCACTCACTTATTTAAGAGCTATTTTAGACCTATCTATAGCCTAGTTAAGATGGTGGATGAGGAATTTTGCTGACTTTCACCCTGGTCTGTTTGCTCTTCATTGTCCTCCCAGTGTAATTGAGTTTTCATGTAATTCATTTACTATACATTCTTTGACTATTTAAATGTTGTTCTTTGCTGGGCCATGTAGTATATTGTGATTATGCTTTCTTTCTTGAACTTTTTCTTTTTCCCTCTGGAGTTAATAATTGCTTTTCCCCTGAAACTCATATTATACTGTATGTTAACTAAATTGAGTTTTAAAAAATAAAGTTTTGTATTAGAGCATTTGAGATTTCTTATACAAATGCTTTTTTATAATATGCTTTTTTTTTTTTTTTTTTAAGATTTTATTTATTTAGGGATGCCTGGGTGGCTCAGATGATTAAGCATCTGCCTTCAGCTCAGGTCATGATCCCAGTTCCTGGGATCAAGTCCTACGTGAAGCTACTTGCTCAGTGGGTAGCCTGCTTCTCCTTCTGCCTGTCATTCACCCTGCCTGTGCTCTGACAATTAAAATCTAAAAAAAGATTTATTGAGAGGGTGTGGTAATGGGGGAGGGGATGGGCAGAAGGAGAGAGACAAACAGACTCTACACTGAACATAGAGCCCCAACACGGGGCTCAGTAAGGGGCTCAGTCATGACTTAAGCGGAAACCCAAGAGTCAAATGCTCCACCGACTGAGCCACCCAGGCACGCCCTTAACATGCTTCTTTTTTTAAAAATTTTTTTATTTATTTGACAGAGATCACAAGTAGGCAGAGAGGCAGGCAGAGAGAGAGAAGCAGGCTCCCTGCTGAGCAGAGAGCACCATGCGGGGCTTGATCCCAGGACTCCGGGATCATGACCTGAGGCCAGGTGCCTCCCTAACATTCTTCATTGATTAAAGCTTTTCCCATGTTGGGGCACCTGGGTGGTTCAGTCAGTCAGTTAAGCATCTGCTTTCGGCTCAGGTCACGATCCCGGAGTCCTGGGATTGAGTTCCATATCAGGCATCCCTGCTCAGTGGGGAGTCTGCTTCTCCCTCTGCCCTTCACCCTGCTTATGCTCTCTCTCATTCATGCTCTCTCAAATAAATAAAATATTAAAAAAAAAAGTTTTTCCTATGGCAAAATGAATCAGGGTTTTTTTCCCTTGGAGTCACCCCTCGTGGAGTTCTTCGCTCTTCTGCTTCAGTCAGGTTTGGTCACCCCCGTCTTGATATTTTCCTTTGCTGCCATTTTTAGAATTCGCTTATATGTTAGAGTTCCTGTTACCTGAACCCTTTAATGTCTTTCTTGGCTTACTCCCTTGTTTTGGGAAATGCGTCCTTCTGTAGCTTCCTAGAAAATGCAGAGTTGAAAAGACAAAGGTTTTAAGAATTTGTGCATCAGCGTATAGGCATTTTATTTTGCTCTCACATTTTTTTGGATGGGTAGGGATGTCTGCCCATCTGTCATTTAAGTTCTGTAAAATTTTTTTCATTATGAAACATACCATATATATAACTGTATATATATAACTTAAAAACCCTAGCATAGGGCATCTGGGTGGCTCAGTGGGTTAAAGCCTCTGCCTTCAGCCCAGGTCATGATCTCAGGGTCCTGGGATTGAGCCATGTGTCAGGCTCCCTGCTCAGTGGGAAGTCTGCTTCTCCCTCTCCCTGTGCCCCTTCCCTCCTCTCTCTCTCTCCCTCTCTCACACTTGCTCTCTCTCTCTCTCAAAACTTAAAAAAAAAAAAAAAAAAACAACAAAAAAAAACCACTTATTTAAAAAAAAACACTGGCATACTCTGATTAGCTTATAATAGAATGTTTGCTCCCTGATTACATTCTCTTCCTTATACTAATAGTTCTCTATATTGTGTTCATCATTATGTTGTTTTTCTTTGTAGTTTATTTATGTCTGTCTTCAACAAAATATTGTGTGTTCTCTGTTTTGATCTGTATGAAAATTGATTTTTATTTGACTGGATTTTTTTTGTCCTTGCTGTTGACCAGTTGATGGTCTAGGATAGCTGTCCTACAGAGTTTCTTACATTCTGGATTTTATCTGCTGGCCCACAGTAATTTTAAACTTGTTCCTCTGTTCTCTTATTGCCTGTAAACTGGAAGTTAAATGTAAAGGTTTGGTTAGATTCAGGTGCAGCTTTCTAGGAGAATTTTTAATCTCTGCTACCATATTTTTAATATTCAGGCCCTTATTTACTCATTTTTCCTTTTAAAAATGGCATCCTGCATTTTATCTCTGAGGATATTCGTTATAGTTTTTCTTTTGCTACCACCTTTCTTCTGAATTCCCTTCCTGGGTTTGTTTGGCTCAAGCACCTCATGCCTGTTATTCCTTAAATGTTGGAAAATTCCACTTCAGTAAAGGCACAAAAATTCTTGAAAAGCCCTGTGTGTGGTGGTTGGGTAGATGGGAATGGGTTTTTGTAGACTGGTAGGCCTCACCATAGAGAATCTGTTAATAGCAAACTGCTGGGTACCCTCTCCAAATTGTTAGTATCTACAGGAATTTTCTCTGTGGCAGGTGAGTTTCTCCAGAGAAGGATCCTCTAATATCCTTTTGGCACGGTGTGGTTGGGTCACTGACATTCTGGAATTAGGCAGAGAATAATAGCCATGTTTACAGAGGAATAGCTTGCTCCCTTCTAGTTTTGACTCTGCTTGAAAACAGCTGTTTCCTTGAGGAAGCAACTTTAGCTTTCTGGACAGGTTTAGCCTTCTGGACAGGTTTTCCTATCTGTAAAATGGGAACTGTAGGTACTGATCTCTGAGGTCTCTTCCAGCTGACACACTAGGCCTACCCTGCACTGTATAGCTTTTCTCCTTGGGAGACGGGAAGGGTAAGTTTAATCAAATGAAAAAAAAAGACTAGGGGTGCTTGGGTGGCTCAGTTAAGCATCAAACTTTCACTGAATTTGGCTTGAGTTGTGATCTCGGGGTTGTGAGATCAAGCCCCGCATTGGGCTCTGGGCTCAGTGGAGCCTGCTTCTTTCCCTCTACCATTGTTCCTCTCCCCGTTCACACACACCCTTCCAAATAAATAACTCTAAAAGAAAGAAAGAAAAAAAAAAAAGTAAACATTCTGGAAGGGGCACTTGGGTGGCTCAGTGGCTTAAAACCTTTGCCTTCAGCTCAGGTCATGATCTCAGGGTCCTGGGATTGAGCTCCACATTGGGTTCTCTACTCAGCAGGGACCTTGCTTACCTCTCCTTCCTCTGCCTCTCTGCCTACTTGCGAACTCTGTCAAATAAAATCTTATAAAAAAAATAATTCTCAAGACCAAGCCCTGATGTCAGAAAGATTACTTTTGCTTGGAAATTTGCTTCATAGCAGGCTCTCCATCCCTTAAGGTATAGCTTGGCAGGGAGCAAAGCTGCTTCCACTAGGTGGCTTTTGGACATTTGGGAAGTTACTTTCCTTTTTAATAGCATTCAACAAGTTGCGTTGGATTACCTTTAAGGTCCCATCTTAGTTTTAAAAAAATTCTACAATTCATTTTATTATTTACTGGTGTGTCTGGTATGAGCTAACCAGGCCCTGCCCCCACCCCCCAGCTTGATTTTAAGAATACAATAGTATATGTATACATGTAATACATATACAGTATGTAATATACATGTGTATGTAATATACATACATAATATACATACTGTATATGTAATATACATGTAATACATATACAGTATATTAACTGTTAATGGTAAGGCTTCTGGTCAACAAGTTATTAAATGAAAAGTTTTGGGGGGAGTCAAGAGTTACATGCAGATTTTTGTTGATGTGGAAGCTGTCACCCCTTATCCCCATTTGTTCAAGGGTCAACTATACTTGGTTCCTTGGCAGCAGCAACATGACTTAGTCTGACTGTTTTAAAATGGAACATGTGATGGCATTAAACAGAAGCACTGAAGACTTCCTTCACCTGGGTCTTCTATACAGAATTGATTTTGTAGGGAAAAAATGTTCCTAGCCAGGATCTTAGATGGGTTAAGAATGGGTCAATTTAGAAATTTCAGGTATCGTGTTCTCTCTCACCTGTTAATGACTTATACATTTTCTACTCATCTACACAGTAGCCATTACATTTGTTATAGAATTTAAGGGAAATTAATAGCCATGTAAAACTTAAAGTGAGTCTCCTCTAATGAATTCTAATGTGATTTCCAAATTCTCTTCAGATTTTAAGGACTTATTGTAGTATATGGAATACATATTACCAAATTACTATGCATTTCATAGTGAAAATGTATCCTTACTGTTGGACTAGATAATCTCTAGGGCTCTTTTTCCTTAAAGAATATTCCCATTAATAAATTTTAAGATTTTGGGGCGCCTGGGTGGCTCAGTGGGTTAAAGCCTCTGCTTTCGGCTCGGGTCATGATCCCAGGGTCCTGGGATCGAGCCCCGCATCGGGCTCTCTGCTCAGCAGGGAGCCTGCTTCTTCCTCTCTCTCTGCCTGCCTCTCTGCCTACTTGTGATCTCTGTCTGTCAAATAAATAAAATCTTTAAAAAAAAAAAAAAAGAAAAAAAATAAATTTTAAGATTTTATTTGACAGAGATCACAGGTAGGCAGAGAGGCAGGAATTCAGAGGAAGGGAAGCAGGCTAAGCAGGCTCCCCACTGAGCAGAAAGCTGGATGTGGGTCTCATCCCAGGACTCTGGGATCACAACCTGAGCCAAAGGCAGAGGCTTTAACCCACTGAGCCACCCAGGCGCCCCCCCATTAATTAAATTTTTAAACATTTGATAATGGTAATGTCCAAACAGTTGTATAGAGAAAAACTAGCCCATTAGCCAGTTTCAATATTTCACAGTATATGGCCTTTCTTGTATTTATATTCAACTATCCTTCTCCCTCACCCATTTTATTTTGAAGCAAATCCCACACGTACTTAATTCTCCCAACTATTTCAGTATTTCTCAAAGAAAAGGACTCATTTCCAAGTCATCTCTATATTCTTAGATGGTTTTTGGTTGAAAATGTTCACATGTATAATTTTTAATGTTAACTTTAGCGTTAATTTTCATGCTTCTTCTTCTAGGGACTGGTTTGGTTGAAAGACAAGGAAGCAACACATTGTAAACTTTGTGAAACTGAATTCTCACTTTCTAAGAGAAAGGTAAGGGAGATAGGAAGTGAGTCTGAAGGACTTGATGCAAACAGGACTTCTAATTTAACTTTTTTTTTTTTTTTTTTTTTCCATTTAATAGCACCACTGTAGAAATTGTGGGGAAATTTTCTGTAATGCTTGCTCTGACAACGAACTGCCTTTGCCTTCTTCACCAAAGCCAGTACGGGTTTGTGATTCCTGTCATGCGCTGCTGATCCAGAGATGCTCATCTAATTTGCCGTAAGACTCCAGACTAAGTCCTTTTGTATGAAAGTACCTACAATGAATGGTTAATGTATGAACCATGTACATGATGTATTTAGCCAGCTCTTCTTAAGCAGCTTTCAGACTGTACTGGTACCAGTTTTATCTTCCACGTATTCAGCACATGGGAATTAGAAGCTGTAGAATAGCTCATTGTTATTCAAAAAGAACATTCAACAGGGCATGCTTTAAATTAACTTTTGTTAATTCCTAATTGATGTAACAGTCATATAACTTATAACACCACTAAAAAAAGGCCAGATAGCAGAGCTAACACACATTTGCCTTATTTTGTAAAGGCCTTCTTAAAAATAGGGGTTCAGATTCTTTTACTCTGCAAATTGTCAAGTTGGTATTTGATGGTGCCTGTAATTTTCTTAATGCACTTTAAAGTATCACAGTTCTCAGAAAGATCAGAAATACATTGAACTATTTGCTATTCAAAAAAAAAAGTATTAATATTCCAGTTCAACAGTCTTTTCATTAGCTTGCTAAGGTTTCATCCTTAATAACTTGTCCTTTCTGCCCCACTTCCTTTGCCCATTTTGCATTAGAAGAGGCCAGTATTTTATCCTGTAAAAATTTCCTCTTGGTCTTCCTCTAATCAATGTATTTATTGGTATTTTCAGATATAGGTTAAAGAGGTATTTTTTACCTCAACTTTTTCCTTATTTTGAAAGGAAGTTGAACTAGTCTTTTAAATTATTACTTACACATCTTTCCATGTTATACCTGACTCACCGAACTTTAGGGAGGGCTCAACACCTCTTAAGAAAAAAATCCATCCCCGGAAGAAAATGTTTATTAATAGTAAGGGGTTACAGGCTGATTGATTCTCCTCTAAGCATCAAAGGAGAAATCTAAAATAGTTTGCCTTTGATGGAATTTGAGTAATTAAAAATTTTATTCTATTTACATTCCAGTAGCTTTTAGGAAGCATTACAGTGTAGTGATCCACTACTGCAGTTCTGTATAGAGTGAAATATTCACTCTATACTGAGCGCCTCCAAGCCAGGATCCTGAGCAGATAAAGATGTGGTCTCAGCCCTGCCACGAAATACATGGTCTGTTTCCAGCATGAAAGAGTCAAACACTAATCCCATTTTACCATTCTTGTAGCACACCAAGAATATGTAAAAGGTTACCCGTCTCATTAATCCTTTGAATAGCATCACCACTTGGGAGATCCTTTTTCCCCCCTTTCGTGTTAACTTCAGCCATGCACTTTAAGTCTGTGAACCTTTCAAACAGGTCAGATAGTAATTTTTGATTACTCCTAGGAGCATTACATTTAGTAAATTAATCATGCCCCCCCCCCACATAAGATGGGGTTACTTATTCTGTAGGAGCCTTTCCTTAGAGTATATATACTTTCACTAGGGCTTAAAATTAATTTTCTAAATTGCCAAAGTATGAAATCAGTATTTTACTTGAGGATTTATTTTCTCCAAATCCCGTTAAGCTTTTGAGGTCTTCAGTTCGAACTGCTGTACAGATTTTTAGGTGGTCTTTCTTGAATGCCGACAGAAATACTGTCAAGAGAAGAATTATATTCTTGAACTGTTTTGTACTGATGGGATGATTAACATTTTTCTGATTGTTAAAAATGAGAATAAGCAACTATGAAGTTTCAAATACTGTGTTTTTTATTACTGTGCTTATTAATACAAATTTTAAAATGTGATTTTGCTTAAATTCCAAAGCTGGGTTTCATTCAACAAATAAACCATGATTTTCAGTCCCCCATTAAATTCTTTGTTATTCAAAACTCCTGTTTATCAACACTGATTTTGGGCTTTTTGTAGTCAAGCTTTTATGATAGCAATACAATTTGCTTCATTTAGTTTGGGTTCTTATTTAAGAGCCATGTATACTAAATGTTGGATTTTGTTATAAAACTTCATTTGTATTGTGAACCTACACTTTCTAATCTTCAAGATTTGCCCTCATTGAAAGTATTTATCTTCATGAATTTCACATACCATTCCTTCATCTAGCCAGTACTACCCACAGTAATGCTATCTATCATAGTGCCAAGGAATTGTGACTGTAATTCTACTCTGCAGTGTTTTAAAATGTGAATTTTATAAACCAAATAAAACCTATGAAAAATTAGCCCTTCAAAGGGCAACTTGCGCTTATAACTTTTTATACCTTTACTACTTAAAGATTTTAATAGAGCAGGTCCTGGGAAATCACATACAATCTTTAAAAAAAAAAAAAAGGTAAGTGGTATTAGTCTAATATCTAAGTGGATAACTTAGGAGGGGTACAAACATTAAGATGGATCTCTGCTTTAGCAGATAGCTGTGTTAGCTTAAGTGGAACCTCTTCTTTCTGCAACAGTAGAAATCACTCCTTAGGTGTCACTTTGTCTAATGTTCCCTTAGAATATCTTCCACCAATCTGATTTACAATCTTACAATCAGTAACCGACACAAATCACTCTAGGACAGAGGCCACACTATTAATCTCCCACGTTGATATTTATTACATTAATAACATTTCTAGCAAAAACAAGTAACAAGGTCAATAACTGAATTCACATTGACAGGTTTCATTTTGATCCATTAGCCAATTTGGGGGGAAAAAGCCGTATTGATCAAAGGGATTAAAAGTAAAAAGCACCTTTTCTTTGCTACACATAGTATTTTTTAATACAATGGCTCTAAAACTCCAGAGATCAAATGCAAAATCCAACTTCCAGGACTCTCATTTTAATTAAAACTATCACATGGACTTGTCTCTTACATTTGTTTAATCATTTATACAGTTATTGAGAAACCATATGCTATATTGGGCAGAAAAACTGAAAATACAGCTGTGAGAATTATACTCCACAGTAAATATTTTTGTACTTATACTGGATTCTCATGTCACTGAGAATCTTAACCTAGTCTAAGACATTTTGAGATAACTTACAACTATCACTTTTTTGGAAACATTTTTTGGTACTTCAGTCAAGTGCTGAGTGAATTTATTCTAAAATCTAGGGCTAGAATTTTAAACTTCCAACATTCTCATCCCCAGGTAACACAATTATGAATATTCAGAAATCCAAATACCTCAAGATCTTCAACATTTCATAGCTATGCCTGATAAATGACATTTGAAAAGAATGACTAAAATAGAAATTAGCTGAATTTACACTCCTGAAGCCACCTACACTCATCTTTAGGTTTTTATATTTACAGTATTGTCCAGGAGAAAAAAAAGTTACACTATTTTCCAAGCTCTATTCCAGATGTCTGCTTATTAATAAGACTTGTAGTTTATGCAAAGGTGAACCATTGTCCTCTACAATTACACTATACTACTTCTTGTAGAGCTAATAGTAAAATACATCAACCCAAATCTTAGGAAAGCAGCACATCCTTAAGAGTAACTAGTATATAAAAAGTATCAACATCAGTGGTTTGAATATAAAAATTTATTTTTAAGTCAAAGTATGCAACAAATAAAACCTACAGAAAACAGATTTTTCCATCACAATCTGTTGCTTTACCAAATAATATTTTGAAAACACATTCCTTCAGTCATTATAAAGTTCTTAAAATACAAAAGAAATTAAATCTGTAAGAAAGTCTAGTAGACCAGACGCTACTGTCAGGACTTTTATGTTGGTGGTTATGCTTTAATACATGCCACGCCATCCACCTCCACTCATGCCCCCTTGCCCATAGTAACCGCCACTGCCTCCACCACCACGGCCTTAAAAAACAAAAACAACAAAACAAAAAAAAAACTTGTTAGGAACTATCAGTACATACTTCATTGATGATAATACATGAACTTAAAAGTGTCTGCACACATGGGGACTAACATATCAAACCACAGTAACCAATGACACTTACCATAACCACCCAAGCCGTCAGGAGTACCATATCCTCCACTGTAATTGTTACCCATTCCCATTCTTCCAACAGATCCGTAACCTCCCTGATTATCTTTAAAAAGAAAAAGAAAAAAAAAAAATGTGAGATTGACTGCTACATGTGTAACTCTGCTCATTTAAAAAACTTTACCTACCCATTCCATCTCTGCCGTAGCCTCCCATTCCAGAACCTCCCATTCCAGAACCGCCTCCAGGAGTAGAATTCAAGAAGAGTTCAATGTACCGATGTTCTTTAAGACAAAGAGAGTAACAAGGAAGGAATGATGGATCAAAATTTATCAATAAAATGATAATTAGCTAATATTAACCTGGGAATATATTTACATACTTCCTAGTGCAGTAATAAGATGAACGCCAGAGGCTAAAACCTAACCTACCATGTTTTGTTCAAATTGTACAATGCTAAAAACATAAAATGTGGTTGGGGCCTCCATTTCCTTATCTATATAAAAAGGGCTGATTCCTTATTTCAGAACCAGTTACTGTGCTGCTTAAAATACATTCCATGTCCAAAGAGATGAATTCAAATCATGTCATGAAAATAATGTCCATGAAAGATTACTACAAAGTGATTTACGTGTACCCAGATTTACGAATCACTGGTCTGGGTAAAATTTAATGGTTTAAAACCAGTTTGATGGCATACAGAAATAACAGCCAACTAATTTGATGGATGGGTTAAAAAGTCCTGATTTGCAAATGGCATGGGAACTCAAGCACATGCTAGTAATATACCTATTTTCCCTCTTTAATAACTTAAGCTTGGATAACCTGTCAAGTACTGAGACTGAATTAACTCTTCAAACACCCCCCCGCCCCCCCCCCCCCAAACGAATGGTCTTAACTTCTTAGAAGGCCATATGGTTTCAGGTCCCAATGACTACCAAGTTACTTACCTACAAACCTTGTAGCATATCACATTTGAGAAATTACAAATGTTATTTTATAAACAAGTTCACACCTAAGAAACTAGATAGCAAGCCAAGAATACTTACGCATGTTATTCTTATCTTTAGACATGGCAGCTACAGCATCTTCATGTGTCACAAATTCTACATCTGCCTCTCCTGTTGCTCTGCCATCAGCTCCAATATCAATATGCACTCGTATTGGATTCAGTGGTGAGAAGAACTAAATAAGAGAAAACACTTATTAAATTGCCACATACCTTAGTTTTCCCTCATCCATTAAAACAAACCTTTTTACTGCTCTGTATTGCAAAGCTAACAACTACGAACATTCTAGGACCATAAACATAGAGGAAAATGCAAAAAAATTATTTCTTTAAAATAAGCTCAGTTGTGGGGTGCCTGGGTGGCTCACTCGATTGAGTGTCTGCCTTCAGCTCAGGGTCCTGGGACAGAGCCCTGCATCAGGCTCCCTGCTCATGATGTAGCCTGTTTCTCCCTCTGCTTGCTAAATTAAACATAAATAAATATAATCTTTTCTTTTAAGATAGAGAGCACAGGCAGGCAGAGTGACAGGCAGAGGGAGAAGCAGGCTTCCAGTCAAGCAAGGAGCCGGACGTGGGACTAGATCCTAGGACGCCGGGACCACGACCTGAGCCA